AAGCTTTAAACCATATAAAATGTAGTTTTTATGATGTGACTAGAAATTTTCAGATTTTTTCTTCACTCGTTAGAAACTTGTTGTAGGGTAACTGCGCATTGTTTTAAGAAAAGAACGCTAAAAATGGAAGTATATGTCATTGCAGGAGCGCACTCATGTAGGGGGGGGGGGGTTACAACCTCCTCCGAAATTGTATATGGGCAATATAATGTTTGTCGAGCCAAGCACGCATACGGAATTAAAAAATCCAGAAAAAATTGGAACTATCCTATTATCCCCCCCCCCCCCCCCTACTTTCTGGGTGCGCCCCTGGTACATTGATTATGTTTCGGTTTAATATTCCGTAGTGGTAAATGAGTCCTATTGGTTTTGCTGCTAGCGATCTATTATAAAACGAACAAAAGAATTACGGAATTGTTTTTGAAAACGACACGGGTACTTTCTGATATTCCCCATATTGATTTGTATAAAAGCGGGTCAAGATAACTACGCGTGACAGGGGTTAGTATTCATAAACTCATAATGAAAACGATAACATCTCCATCGCCTATCGCAATTGGAGTAGTTTCAAATGTAGGTATATAAGGTTGCTCCGGAAATTAATTAATCCGCAGGGACCCATTATCAGTGAGAATTTAATTATTAAAATGCTAAAACTCACCTTCACCCAAGTTTCTGACAAAATTGGTGCACCTATTGTACTGCGGGGATTATCCCATAAAATAATGCCTGAAAAGACATAAAATCGGGAGCTAGCAACCGCCATCTAAAGAATTGAAATTCTTCTTTTTGGATCGGGAAGCCTGGGGAACCAGGGGGGAAATGCGCTATGGTCATTCGTATAATTAAATCAAGCTTTACGTAATTTTACCCGTAGTCAACTAATTAAGTATTAACAATAGATATTGCCTTAATAATTCAGATTGTACTATAATTGTATGAAGTTAATTACAAGCTAGCGTGCACTTTTATAGAAACTTACTATACCTATCGTCGAAATGGATTTTAGATCTTGTGAGTATCTATATGTATAACAAAACGCTTTAATTACATCCTTTTAAGATTAATATAATATGCCCGTACTAATTGGGTATAGGTACAGTAGCGTAAGCACGGCGATTTGCATTTAGTTAGTGTAAATTGGTGCGTTGGTGTGAAGTTGGAAATGGGTAAAAAGCGGTATGTACATATGTGTTTATCAAACACGAAAGTGCGATTATTAAGCACCATTAAATATGAAGAACAACTGAATAATTAACATGCATGACAAAGGAGTTTCTAACAACAGAAGGCTCTTCCTTTCATTAGCTTATCCATTGAACTAACATCTTGTACGTACCTGTACCCATCTATTAACATAGCATATTGAGGGTTCAAAAAGTTCACATTCTGTAAGTACTTGCAATTGTCTCGAGTGATTGACGATATTTCTATTGAAAAAGCAGATGTACCGATATTTCCCAACGAACTATTGAAATTCCGTAGTTTGCACAATACCAAAGAAATTGGAAGTAGTTGTTAGCGGAAGGACAGAAATAAGTAATGTCATGGGTGTATTCAGAAGCATTACAGCACCTGCTTCACATCCTGATGGCCATCATTACACGGTCGTTGAATAACATAAGTAGGTACCTTAGTGTATGATTGGCATTAAATGGTATGGAATAATGGAGGAACACTCTACCACTTTTAGTCCATTAGGCATAGAGACCACGAAAATATCATATTGGTCATTTGTATTGGTTCGTTAGAGTTTCAACTAAATCGAGCTTGTTTGTTAATTGTACTTGTGAAGGCTACATGTTTTTATGTAAATAAACGCTTCGTTGAATCGTTATGGTTTAGCGTTTTATTGTGTTCTTTGTTGTGAAGTTCTGAGTCAATTTTTAACACTACAGTGGTGACGTGAATAAACTTCGGTTCGAGTACCTACTTTGACCATATCGACAACTTTTTAAAATTGATTGTATCACGACCAATTGCAACTAAATGTATCCCTTGATTCAAATACTGTGGGTACCCGAGAGGGAGTCGCAGATTAAAGTCAAAATATCCATGGAGATCCACCAGACATCTTTGTACGGCCTCGGAAATCCACTGGATATCCTTGAACATCTTAGGATTTCCCTGGACATCTTCAATGATTCAAATCTTGAGAGGAACGCAATGAAGTCTAATGTATGTTAATGCAAGAAACATGTAGCTTGTTCTTTTTCATGTTTCATTGCTTGTAAATATCTTCGTCACGAATTTCGTTAAGAAAACGACAAAACATGTCGTGATAGTTAAGGAGGAAGGTCTTAAATACTTTCTATCCATCTCAGATATACTGTACAGGGTGTCCCGATTTCAATGCCCGGATAGGAAAAACTTTTCCGTAGCGGTTTTGATATATATGAAATAGTAACGCGGCAACCTCGTAATTAAAACCATGGTTCAATTCTTTTTTGCAAGGTATCTCCCTGCCATTTTTTAAAATATAGAAAAAAACACAACCAATAGACCATGGTAAGTATAATAAACAATAGATTTTATTTATAGTCGAATCTTACATTATATTACTTTTTTTCTATATTTTTCGGTTCAGAATTTTTTGTAAAGAAGACAGTGCAACAATTGTTATATATTGAAAAAGCACAACGCGCAACTCATAAAGAACGTGCAAAATAGGAACAAGATAAAAACACAATCTAATGTAAAATTCAATTTTAAATAACATCGATATCTTTTAAGAAACGAATTGGGCAATTTTTTAAATTGCGATTTCTGCAAAATTAGGCGGAGTCAAAACCTAACCAAATAGGTTAATTCATCCTATTACGCCATTTTTTTAGATTAAAATCTACAAATTATTCAATTTAAAAAAATGAGGTTAGGTCCGGTAGGTAACTTTTTTACCTGGTTCTGAAAACGGCAGATTATTCAACAATCATTATACCGAAATTTTTGTAAAAAAAATTTTTGTGTACCTCTTTTTACCAAGGAAATATAGTCATTCTGAAATTTTTTAATTTTACCCCGTATATTTTGTCAAGGAAATCCGCGAAAATAGAAAAATTACTTTTTGAACCACATGTCGCAACCTTTTTGAGCTCAGAAAGGGCGCTTTTCTACCTTATTTGTAACAGATAACAACAAACAAACAAGAAGAATAGTGACATTGTTTAAATACACAATGATAGTGAATAGCGTGGCATAAAATATTTGGGTAGCAATGTCTAACGTCTGGCACTAGGGTAAATCGAATGCTAAAACCGCAATTAATACTCGACAAGAATCCATAATTCGATTTACGTTAACTAAACAAAAGCAAAATTTTGATCGATGAATATAATGTCCCTACAAATCGGATATATGTAAAAGCATAAACGTGACGTTAACTCGAGGAAACTACTTGACGATCTAATTAATTCAAAATGAAAATAAACTAAGGTGAACAAATTGTTCGTAATGAGTTAAGTAACATAACTAAAAATCGTAGATATCTATTTCGAACTAGTTTCGGTAATATAAAAAACTACAATTCAAAAGCAATTCACTAAATTGGTAAACAGACTAATATAAAGGATATGAAACGTAGGTAGTAGAATCACGTGACTGATTTGACACAAGGTCGCGGTGGAAGTTTCCAATTAATCTTCCTTGTGCAATATTGAAAAATTCAACTCCTGCGTTTCCACCAAGGAATATCGATGTAGATCACAATAATCCTAGATCCTAACCCAGAAGTAAGAAGCGTAAAAATTATTATTGAAAGTCAAAGGTAATGCACAATATTGTTGGTACATAGTACATACCGTAAACGGCCTTAGAATCCATGTCCGCAAAAAAAGCGTATTCTATGAAGCGAAGCAAATATTCAAGAACGAAACTTCACAGACCACCAACAAATCCCTTTTTATAGGTTATGGCGAAATTGGCGACGTGTATGTTCTTACCAGTAATGATCGAAACTGTTCTTATACAAGGAATGCGTACGCAGAAAAGAATTAAGGAAACATTTGCACGACCTCTAGCGGCGAAAATAAAAAACTATTGTAAATGAAACCTATAACACTCGGATGGCCTCTAGCGGCGAGAATAAACTATTGGAATATCAAATCTGACCATAGAAATAACTTGCACCTTAACTAAACGGATTTCCGCAGGAAATCATAGATGGGGTGAAAATATTGAATATAAATTAGAGTAAAAATCGAAGTTCCTTAAATGGAATATAAATTTGGAATTTAAAGTGTCAAGGAAAAAAGAATATTACAACGTAATACCCCGCACTCAGGCGGTCGATAATTTTTACAATAGAAAATGGGTTTATTTTATCCACATAATTTAAAATACAAAATAGAAAATGACATTTCGTACTTTGAATACGAATTCCAAATAAATTCATTCAAAGTAACCTCCCATCTCGGCCCTTTGCAATCACTGAGACAATATATCGATTGCTATGTACAATGGTAAACGGTCATTCAGCCAACCACATACCACACATACTACCACAATTTTTTATGTGAAAATTTTGATTGTCAAATTTCTCAAACCACGTCCTAATCATTTACAGACCACACAAATTTATTCGACAAAAATCAATTAATAAAGCTGTAAGGAAGAAAGGCACAGGGTCGCATCGCATACTACGCAAATGCGATCGATTGTAATAAAATCAATTTATAAGAAAAATAATTCCAACGTCCAGTCATATATAGTCATCTTCAATTTAACGAACTTCTTATCGCAAGACCAGATTTAAATGAGATAAACTTTTAAAAACACTACGCAATTACTTTCAGATGTCCCTAATCTCTCCTAATGTAGTCTAACTTTACAATAAATCAAAACAAAACACAAGACGATTATTTAAACACGTTAGCGTTTCGTATCGTATTTTTCTTTTGCGGTTCGTTGCATTTATATGTGCTACTTTATACGTGTATACTGTTTTTTAGCACTAAATATTCTCCATCTATAATTTTTTATACTGATTGCCAATTTTTTCCTAGTACCAAGGAAGCAAATTACAATGACGAAGATCACAGCGTACGGATGTACTTAAGAGGTAGGCCAATTATTTTATACACACCGAGCGATGTCGCCGAAAATTACGACATAACAAAGGTCGCGACGGCCCCTTCTCAGAAACTCAAATTGGATTGGGTTTATGGATACCGAGGCCGAGATTGTAGATCTAACTTGTATATACTACCAACGGGTGAGATGGTATATTTCGTTGCCGCAGTTGTGGTGCTTTACAATGCCGAGGAGCAAAGCCAAAGACACTATTTGGGCCATACGGATGATGTCAAAAGGTACTAAATGCGGAAATTGCTCTCTCGATTAATCTAGAATATTTCAGTTTGGCAATTCATCCCAATAAATTAGTAGTTGCCACCGGTCAATGTGCTGGACATGATAAGAGAGAAGCAAGGGTAATTTCGACGAATATAATTCGCAAAGTAATTTAACCACTAGTATTTCAGCCCCATATTCGAGTGTGGAATTCGGTGTCCTTACATACGATGGCAGTGATTGGAGTGAATGAATTTGATGTGTCTGTGTGCTGTATTTCGTTTAGTAAAGCTGACGGTGGGGCGATGTTGGTGGCCGTTGACGAAGCATCCGACCATACAATATCTGTTTGGGATTGGCAGAAGGGAGAGAATGGTTACAAAATAACAGAGACAAAAGTAAGAGCATTAACAATTTGGGGTTTGTTGATCAAACGACATTTTTCAGTGCTCGGTAGATACAATTGTGGCCGCCGAGTTTCATCCATTAGACAAAAATTGTATTGTTACCTGCGGAAAGTCGCATATAGGATTTTGGTCTTTGGATGCCGGTGGTACTTTGTATAAGCGAATGGGAATTTTCGAAAGCAGAGACAAGCCCAAATTTATTTTGTGTGTGTCATTTCTCCAATCTGGTGACGTGATCACAGGCGATTCCAATGGTAACATAGTCGTTTGGGGACGAGGAACAAATACTATCGTGAAGATGGTCAAGAATGTTCACGAAGGTTCTATTTTCTCTATATGCGTTCTCAAGGATGGTGCTGTTGTTTCGGGCGGTGGCAAAGATGGCCGAATGGTTCAATTTGATGCAAATCTAGAAAGAACAGGCGAAGAGAGTCAGGTATATAATATCTCTCTCTTATCCATAATCTCTTATCCAAGCTTTTCAGATTGAAGGACACTATGGTGGTATTAGAGTAATTTCGGAGGGCCGAGGATCTCAACTGCTAGTGGGAACGACGCGCAATTGCATTTTAACTGGTAATGGAAGTTTGGGATTTCAACCTGTTGTTTTGGGCCATATAGACGAGCTGTGGGGCCTGGCTGCTCATCCTACCGTTCCTCAATTTGCCACAGCAGGCTATGACAAACTCCTGCAAATGTGGGACTCAATGTCGCATAGTATTCTTTGGAGTAAAGATATTGGGGTACGTCGAAAGTGGAGCAAATCTTCTTGCAATTATTGGATCTATTCCAGGTGCACGCCCAAAGCTTAGCATTTTCGCCAGATGGTAATATTATAGTAGTCGGTTGTGTTCCTAACGGAAATTGGATGGTTTTCGATTCGCAAACGCGAGAATTAATGAGCCAGCATTCGGATGGTCCGGAGCCGATTCAAATAATGCAGTTCTCGCCAGATGGCAGTATGCTTGCTTTAGGATCTCGAGATAACTATATCTACATGTATCAAGTGTCGGAAACTCACAAATTTAGTAGAGTTGGAAAATGCATGGTAAGACATTATTTCTTTACTCATATGGTGAATGCATTTATAAGGGGAACCTTTCGCACGCTTGTAAGGGTTACATTTTCGAATTCAAAAAAAAAAATTCAAAAGTTCACTTACTTTTGACAATTTTTAAATAATAATAATAGTAATAATACCTACTATTTATTGATAGCTCAGGCTAACAATTGGAAAGGGTTCGCCAAATAGGCGGTTTACCACCCCTCTTGTAACTATAACAACCACATAATCATCAAGATATTTGGATCTTGTTTTCTATTTTTTGGTGTCTGCATAAATAAAGGACTTGGGATTCTTGTTTTTGACTAGCACGTTCTATATAATCAATTTCTTGAGGTCTACGTCAGCTTTCTAATAAATCTCTTTCGTTCCTTTTTTCTCCGATGCCGTTTGACCCCGCACACTATATTGGAGTTGCATGTACCTGTAATAGAGTAGTATAATAATAATAAATAATAGAAATGCTTAATCACCTGTCCAAAACGATCGGAACTAATGGTAAAGGGTATGCGTCCTGTAGATAGTTACCTGTATTTTTCTAAATTACGTACTATGGCATTGTTTTACACGAGTATATAATGCTTTTAGCATTGTAAATCTTGTTTTGTTGATAACTGCACCCAAAGATTCATTCATTGCACGCTTTTCCTTCTATAGCAAAATCTTGTATCTTCTTCTTGCCTAAACTGAATAACTGTGTTTTTTGCTTGCTGCAAGAGTGTGGCAACTTCTTCGCATGGAACTAAACTGACAGTGGTAATTTACTTTTCGTCATAATACTTTTAATCGCTATCCTTTGTAAAATTCTTATTTTTTAGGGTCATTCCAGTTTTGTTACTCACATTGATTGGTCAGCAGATGGAGAAATACTCAGGAGTAATTCCGGAGATTACGAGTTATTATATTGTGAGTATCAATACTTTGCTGGCGAGTAACACACCTTAATTTTTGAATAGGGAATGCGGCTACTTGTCGCCAAATTCCGCAGAGTAGTGCCTTTAGAGATACAGAATGGGCATCGAATAATTGTACAATCACGTTTTCGACCATCGGCATATGGCCTGAGAATGCCGATGGTACGGATGTAAACTACTGTGATCGCAGTCACGACATGAAGCTAATGGCTACGGCCGATGATTTTGGAAAAGTCAAGCTCTATTCTTATCCAGTGATGCAACCAAAGGTACGAGCTATTTTACTTAGGTTCCACGCTGATTCACAATTTGTAGAGTTTAAACCACTCGTATGGCGGACATAGTAGTCATGTGACCAGTGTCGCCTTTCTGCACGATGACTCCCGCTTGGTTTCGATTGGAGGAAAAGACACGAGCGTAATGCAGTGGGTTGTTTCGTGAAATATGAATTAGAATTCGTCCTGTCCTCTCAGGAATTTTGATATGCCTTAATGTTTTATGAATTTATATTTCATACTAGATGTGCCGTATTTAGTAAACATCGTCGTAAAGTTAATAATGGAAAAGTCTATTAGAAATAATGTGTTTTATCGATGCAATTGTTGTTACATAAGTTTCAAGTAGGTATGTATGTAATGTCTTTTTTTGTAATGTTTAATTACAAACAAATTTCACCTTGTTCTACATTCCACCAACACTTTGAATAAAATTATTTTTGTACAGTAGCTTTAGGCTGACACTATTTATTTTTATTGTTAAGAATTGTTCACACTGCAGAAAATTCTCTTGTACATTTTGTGTGATTGTACCATAAATTACATAGATTTGGTTCTTAGGTATAAAAAAAACATTATTAACGTGTGATAAATAAAAAAACTGAAAACTGTTAAGGGTGCGTATTTGTATGCACAATGGATAATTTTTGCTTCCTTGCGCTGTAATTTTGTTTTAGATTTTGATCCTTGGAGTTTTCCGTTTCTCTATATGATTACATGTGGCTTCCGAAACTCATCTCGCCGACCTTGACAGGGAATGAGGAAAGTAACTTCTGGTGGCGTTCGAGAATAACCGTACGTACCGTTCCGCCGATTACCGCAGTGAAATCTAATATGATTGTAATTAATTTAAGTTACTAAATAAACTTCTTTTGATTCCACTAATCTTGCATATTAATTTAAATTACAAGTAACTGTTATGTGCGGAGACCTCATAGCAATATTTGTCGCAGTAGTTCTTTACCAGCATGCGTGTTCTCAACATTTCTAAACAGGTTACGGCACCGTTTTCGGTAAGTACAGAAAATACAGGCTGCATTTTTCAAAAAGAACTACATGCTCATTTCATGCTAACAATTGTAGTGTTCTTAGAGCGGCGAATAATGGTATAAAATAATCAAAAACCATTAACAAGTCGTTCCTACAATCCTACGCACCAGGCGGCGTTTGGTGTATTAAACTTCCACCTTATTTGTTCGATAGTAAATTTCATTCCAAACTAAGTTCCGTAAAACATTACATGCAGTAAAGTTTGTGCTACTATCAGTATATATTTTATTTCTAGAATTACCTTTCCCCCTGCACTCATGCAAACCGTAATGAATCACATCCCAAATGTAAATCAGTGCCTCGTGCACCACGCCACCACACCTCGCTTATAAATATGCGCCCTCAACTTCTTGAATCGTTACAATTTCAATGATGTCATCCTGCAGAAATTCTTGAAAAACTTTATGACAGTCTGCACAATATCCCCGTGCTGTAACTTTGTTATATACAACATTCAAGTCGCCATATTTGGCTGTGTATAGTTTTTGTCCTTAATCCATGGAAGTCTTACTGTTTACACATCGTGTCTTCTATTTCCTTCTTAGCTGTTAATTTCTATAACTTTTCTACTGTTCGTGATTGTACCGAAGTCCAAGTCCTGTGGCGGCCATATTTTCGGAGCCAAAGTTTGTTTACTTTTTGCATTTTCGTGTTTATGCGATCCTTAAGTCAATTATAGGTTGGGTTTCGGTGAAACAACAAAGTAATTTGGGCTTCATTTTAGGACCATTATATTATCAGTCCTCACTCTTTCCTTCTCTAATAAGGAATGATCTTTAGGGATTCCCCAAGCCGGGGAAGGGGAAAACTACGAGCAGAGTCATCTAACTTTCAAGTCGAAATGACGGACGTTTCGCGTGTCCTTTGAATTTCGGTAGCAGGCGACTCATATGGATGGCACCTTTGATTATTAATCAAAGGATGGCACGAATGAACTCCTACGTTGTATATACAGTGGCGTAGCTAGGAACTTGGTTTGGGAGGGGCTGATGTGCGTACGTTGTCGAAGGCGGTGATAAAAAATCACCTACCTACGTACGATTCAGCTCCATTTCGCAAAAATTGATTTAATTGTACACAAATATGACATGTCCGGGGGGGTCTATAGTCCCCCACCCTGGCTATGCCCCTGGTTGTATACTCAATTCTGTTATGTGTTGGGACGTGCGAGACATAATCGGAAAGGGAATTGAATAAAATGCAGAATATTTGTACGTGAGAAAAGACAAGAACAAGTATAAATATATTTGCGCACACAACAAAGGCCATACCAGAAGAAAAACCTTCTTCGGGACAAAAACCCTAGGGAAAAAACGAGACACCAACTGCTCGTTGAATTTAACTTGCGTTTTAATTGTGTGAATCGGGTTCGACGAAAACTATGAGTGTTAATTATTATATTTACGTCATGTACCGCACCCATTTTTCGTCAAGCCCAATTGACACGATTAAAACGCAAACGCAACGAACAATATTGGTGTCTCGTTTTTCCCTACGTCCTGCAGTGTTCATAAAAAAACCATCAAAATGGCGTGGCTCTCCTCCATTCTCGATTTCAATTAATTTAATAGGAAAAGTACATGAGAATGCCAATAGTAAGTATTCAGGTTAAAGTCAAATATTGTCCAAGTAAAGCCAAAGTCGAAATCGAAAACAGCACGGTTGGTATATAACACCCAAGCATATCGTATTTTTGTTAAGATGTAAAGGTGTGTTGCCTAACCGTAGGGGTAGGTTATCACAAAACTAAGTACATTACCTTTTGTTGCGGCACAAAACTTACACGAAACTGGAATTTGAAAATTAAAGCAAATACAACTGTATACTGGCTGAAGGCATAAAGCAAAGTGAGGCTACTTTTACAATGAACTTCAAACTGCACCATAAGCAAATCTAATTCATACTTCAACATGGTACCATTGTATATAAGATGTATACAATGATGGTACTCACTTTTGATTCGCTTTTAACGGTTTTTAAGATTCGCAATAAATAATTAACATTTATATTTTTATTTAAACAGCACCAACCTGTGGTACACGTCATTACCGAATTTCACTCTCGAGCTCTCGGACTATTAATTGCATACATACTCACATGTATCATGCAATAATCATTCGAAGAGTTTTTTGAAAGGAGGGGGTACTATAACAGCAGTATTTTCTTTTATAATATATTAAATGAATCTACACAATCAACAAATATAAATACAGAACAAAGAAAAAGTGTGATTCATGTCCAGATAATATATTTTTGAATAATCATAAATATAAGATCAATATGTGCATTCAAAAATTGCCAACTTGTCTTCAAAATGCCCATTTCACAAGGATAATATTGGTCAGGTATTTTATTTACATTGTTAAAGGCAAATTCTTCGTGAAATACTACCATTCCAATATTTTGAGGAAATTCCAGAGAAAACAAAAAATGTTCTAAAAATAACTTCTATAACAATTGGTCTACCTTGGTGTTAATTACAAAGGAACCTACACTTTTGGCTTGAAACACTCTTACAGGCTAACTTTCTTAGTACTATTATTTACATCACCTATTTATTTACACAATTTTTATTTCAGGAAACTCAAATTTGAGTTTTACTAGAAACTTTTATGAAAAATATATTTATCGATTTACACTGCTAGAATATACCACAGATGTTATACAGCTTCTGAGTCGTTAATATTTTCTGTTTCACTACATTTTAATGCCGAATCTTCCGTCACCGCAGGAATAGCACATTTGACCATTAAATCCTCATAGGACTTCCCTTGTAATAAACAAACTATAACAACAGTCATATTATCACATCCCAGCCCGGCCATTTGACAATCCGGCGCTAGGCACTGCATCATTATCGATTCACAGATCTCCTCAGGTTCAACACCGGCGGCGATATTCTGTCGTACAAACGAAATCACCTCCTCATTTGTCATCACATCCCATATTCCATCGCATGCTAACACAATGAACTCCCAATCGGGCGTAATAGTACGAACTAGTACATCTGGATACGCAGTAACCATTTGCTCTTCCGGCTTCATTTTATCGTTTCGCTTAAAAATAAAATCACCCAGTGCTCTCGAGAGTGCCAAATTCCCATTAACCCGATTGCAATCGACCCAACCGCCTGCGGCAGTGATTCGATCGAACTCTTCTTGCAAGTACGGTTTGTGGTCATTCGAGAGGGGTTCGGCGACACCTTTTATGCTCGCAACCGCTCTGGAATCGCCGACATTTGCGCAAAATAAACGACTCTCCCGTATTACCATCGCGATTGCCGTGGTGCCGGCCTGTTCGTGCTTTAGAGTCTCCTCATTTTGCATCACCTCGTCCATTTCCAAAAACGCCTGTTTCATCGCATCAATAATGTTGCCCTCTTTGTATTCATTTCTTTGCGTTATGTACTTATGCAGATGCTTTCCGGCGTAATCTGATATTTTGGGCCCACCGTGACCGTCGTAGACTGCAAAGAATGCGCTACCGGGGTCATCGGGTAGAGATAGAATGTGTGTGTGAGCGTCTTCCATTGTTACTCGCCATCCTTGCATGCAGCTAGAACCGACACGGAACTCAGAGTTTTGGCAGCAAGCTGTGTCTTTCGCTGTGACCGGTTCCGATAGCGTCTGCCCCATAATTACTAAACTGGAAACCGAAAACAAACATTAGGGGGGGGGGCATTGATTGAATGCAGGGGAAGAACTACCGATTCACAGGACGTTTAAAACTGGGCACAAACATCTTTGGGTAATTTCATTTCAAGAAACATCAATTTTGAGAGTAATGTCAACATTTCCCAAATTTATCTTGACACAGCCGTACTTACCAAAACCGATAAAGTTTTTAAATATTTCTTTTGAGAGCCTTCCAATTATAAGTCGAAATAATAATGTGCCTTGGTCATATTTTTGTAAATTACTTAATTAATTAGTCATTTTTACTAATAAACGTCACAAAATTACAGGAATAGGTTAACAAAGTCACCAACCCAAAGCTAAAAATAATACCAGATAATTAAGATGAGATTTCTTTTTTAAAGGTTGGTCAAATTGAAAAGATGGCTTCAGAGAAACCCGGGAGCATTGAACAAGGTAGAAATTTTTAAATTTTTCTTTAAATCTTTGATTTTTGCCAACAAACTTCGTATTCTATGCGTAAATTGAAATTGAATTATTTCAATTGCTTAATGAACTGTGCTATGTAATTCTCGTAAAATTCTAAATTTAATAAATATAGTCAGTATGTCAAAGTTGTGCTCAAAGCGGCGCTGTCAAAATATTTATTGACTTGTTTGTTTGGCTTGCATTGCAGCAAACGAGTCGGGATTTTCTTCGGTTGAAGAAAGTTTGCTTAGTATGGAAAATTTGGATCGATCTTCGCCTGAATTATGGCCTGAGAAATGTAAGCAACTATTTGTAATCTGTTGCAATAATTTAGCATAAATTTTAGTTCCAGGTATGTCTGATTTCATAAACAGTTTCTCTCCACCTCACTGCTCAACAAAACCACCATATTCGAAGGTGTTTACACCTGAGGATACAAGCCATCTTCATCAACTATCTGCCTTATCTACAGCTGCATTGATAGCAAAAGTTAAGGATTTGCACGATATCGCATATCAATTAGGAGTGGAAGAATCTAAAGAAATGACGAGAGGAAAATATCTAAATTTGTTTAATAAACCGAGAAAGGTAATTTAATGTAAATATATAGTGCGGTTGTAAATAATGTAAAGGTGTGTTGTAAAGAGAAATTGTGTTTGTTAAAATATAAGTACTGTTTTTCCATAAAGTCTAGTTTGTGTAGGTATAGTCCCTTGAACTAATCAATATACATTCTAAACTAAAGCTGATGGTTAAGAATGTACCTACCATATATATCGATAATTTTTCTAGAAGTTTTCCGGGCTACTTAACTTTGACTTTAGTACAGTGTTGGCAGATAATAAATTGCTTGCGGTAAACTGAAGAGAAAAACAGACTAACAACATAGTTCAAAAAAGTAATAGCGTATACCAAGAGACTAAAGTTGTGCGTTTTAATCCCTAAGGGCTAGGGCACCCTTAGTTCTTTGGTATACTATTTTTTGATTTTTGTACTCCTGTAATCAGCTACCACCATTTTAATATTAAAGTACAATTTGAAAGAAACAATTTTGCATGTTTTTAAAATCAGGATATCTTGGAATGATGTTGCAATAATGATAATAATAAATGTTAGAGTTAGTCCCTCGGTTAGTCCCCTATAAAATAACTATACACACCTGATTATTCAAAATGCTGCAGCAGAAGGTATGAGACAATTATTCTGGTTCCCAAATACAAAAAGATACATAGAAAACGGAAAATGACTTTAATAAAGTAGTGCAAGAACTATAATACTATCACTTTTCGTCTTTCATGTAACTTTAATTAAAGTGACACTAGTAGTTCAAATTTAATAGAGGTTTAAAAGAAAGATTTAAAAGAGAAAGTACATATGGGAAAGTTCATCGATAGCTTTAAAGCAAAGAGCATATGATTGTCCCCTGCACAAAGTACCCACAATAGTGCCATTCTGTATCTTAGAAAATGCCCTGACTTCTTCAAATGCAAATTGTCAATTCGAGGTCGTGGTAAAGTATTCTAACACTTTTCTTAATGAAGTCAGGTGGTAAACCTGATAATAAAAAGATGGGGATTTTCACCAAAGGCATACTTGGGGTTATTTTTGGTCAAATTTTTGAGTTCTGATTATACTTCCGGAATCCGGATAGCCTTTAGGCAGTTCTGAAATTGTCTCTAACTCTAATAATTTTGTCTGGTGACTAATATAAGTATATTCAGGAGTTCCACCCTGTATACAGGGTCATTCTTGACGAGCGTCAGTTAGAAAGATATGGAAAACCTTTGAAAATGAAAATCTAACTCTAATAATTTTGTCTGGTGACTAATATAAGTATATTCAGGAGTTCCACCCTGTATACAGGGTCATTCTTGACGAGCGTCAGTTAGAAAGATATGGAAAACCTTTGAAAATGAAAATAAACTGATAAATTTTTTAAGGGTCATGGCACCTGATGAATTGAACTAAAATATTTTGAAGATGGCGCCACTTCCGGAAATACCGAAAGTAGCCATCAACTTTTGTTATTTTAAATAGGGACCCCCTATTTTTTTCTACATTTTCGGTTTCTACGTCGGATTTGGAGTACAACGATACCCCATAGTTGACCCTTTGCTCCAAGGGCTTCGTTGATATTCAAGTTTCTATGTCAAAAATTGAATTTGCAGGGGTCACTTTAAAAACTTATTATTCGAAAACGGTGAGAGATATTGCAAAACAGTTTTCAATGCTTTATTAAGGAAAGATCGAATTTTCTTATGGTATACGAAACCGTCTAAAAAAGTGAGACTACGTCACTTTTTTAAAGCTCTCAACTTTTACATTTTTAAATATGCATAACCCCATTTTTTTAAATGGCACCCCTCATTTTGTTCTTCGCCATTGTTTTCCTTTTTCCCAGACATTTAATTTGATGCAAAATGTCAAAAGCTGCTTCAAACGGCTTCCGAGATATTTCATGTTTTAGTTATTTCTTGTGGCAAATTGATAAAAAAATTAAGTCGCTTGATGTTTTTCTTTTGTTTTTATTTTAATTTTGATAATGTTTAAACGTCAAATTTGCAGGAATAACGGTATGGTTCAAACAAAAATACATTCAGTGTCTTCGTCTCGTGACTGGATTTGAACGTGCAACTGTGTCGCGGGTTAATGTGATTCCGTCCCGCTGCTCAGTAGCGCGACTAAGCAGCGCTGCTAAGTCGCCCAGTGTGAAGCGGGGCACTCACTAACAAGATAAAATAATAAATATAGAATACGCGTGCACCCCTCTTCTAATGTCATTGGTTCGCAATATGAAATAAGGAATAAAAATTGGACGGAACGAAATTATTATTTCTTATTTCCTAGGCTTATTTCATATTTTAATGTTGCGTGCAAATCCATAAAAATCAGTAGATTGAAAATTGTTATTCCTTATTTCTTATTCCTTATTTGTTATTTCATATTTCTTATTCCTTATTTGTTATTTCATATTTCTTATTCCTTATTTTTTTCATTGTGTGATGAGCTTAAAGTCAATTCCACAACGTTTAAAAATGGCTATTCCCTCCAAACCAGTTACCAGAGCCCGCACGTGATCACACATCTAAGGCAGGGTTCCCGTACGTTAGTCGTAAGCTACGAGTAAAAAATAAAAGGAGAGAATCTTGAATTAAAAGGGGCGAGACGGAAATTGACAAAAAGGAAGTTATAAGAGTGGGGGAAATTTTTTACTCGTAGGTTGTAAACAACGCGCTATGACTGAAGTACAGTAGGGAAGGCGCATAAAATAAATCACTGAAATTGAAATTGATCGTTATTATTAAGATGGTGGAAGCTCGAAAATTTAGCCAAAATAATATTACATTGCAAGAATAAACTTTAGAAATGGTAGTTCGCCGTGTAAAAACAGGGTGGAAAAAAGAACTTATACAAAAAAACCAGCCCTCAATTTAATATTGAATGGTGTAGCAAAATTAATATGTAGTTTGTAGTGATGTGAATGCATAACATAAAATTATAACAACAGTATGGACAAAATATGTAGCATATAGGCTTGGAGAGGTGACAAATAGGTTAAAAACAAGTTTTGAGAACAATGGGTCAGGTTCTGAGGTAAAATATACAGGATGTGACTCATATTTGGTGCAATAAAATCCTTTTGTTAAGAGCAAGATGGAATAAATTACATGGTCTTGTAGGCAAATTCAATGCTACGACAAAATATGTGAAAATCATTGAATCGCAACTCGTATATCACACACAGATTCTAAACTGAAGAGTTTTTATTAGCATAATCTTGCCCCCAACATATGTAACTCGCCCCTCGTTCGGCGTTTCGAGCCTAAAATTGACTGTCGAACACAACCACGGAATTAGGTGTCGTGACTCATTTGATTACAGTTTTTGCCACCCCCGTGACTGCTTCATTCACGGAGAAAATGTTAGATTACAAACAACAAGTCAGTACATACATCGATAATGTCCACATATTAAAAGAATGGTCAAAATTAATATGAATATATCAAGACCATAAATTGATCATAAATGCGTTTGATGTGTTTTTGTACAAATTTGATTTGTCTTGTTTTCCATGTGCATTCATGATGTGTCTTGTTTTTCGTTTTATCAACGTGTTTAACTGCATTTGATTCGATTATCTGATTTTTATTGTAAGATTTGAGATGTTTGTGTCTTGCATTTTGTCGTTGTTCTTGATTTATTTCTTGTACTTCTGTGTGTTATGCCAGGTTTTTTGTTTCTAGTTTTTTTCCCCGCTTTTCGGTTTGGATTTGCTCCGCCGAACCAAGCCTTGTACATAATAGGTAAATCTCATTTTAATTCTCATCTTTTGAGAAGCCTCCAAAATCCACGTTTTTATTCAGTTCCCTTCCGATTGTGTCCCAACATACAAAGAGAACCGCTATAGTGTATATACCTACTGTAACGTAAGAGCTTGTTCGTACCAGCCGGTCGTAGCCGATTTTTACTGAGACGTGAAAATGATGCGAAACATCCGATATGCGACATGAAAGCTTTGGGTGAAGGATAATCACCTGTAAATATAGGGTTGGTAAAAATTGCAGTGGTAGATCCTAATGGGGGACTTCTAATCTAAGATCACTTCAAAACTAAAAATGATAATAACACTTTTACAATTATTCAGAAACTTTCCATTAACTTGCCATTAAATAGCTAAGAGGATTTTTCATATTTCAAAAGCCAAGGAAAATATCCAACATTTTTCTTACAAATGTTGAGCTTCTCTTGTCAAAATATAGGTGATCTCAAACAAATAATTTAACATGCCCATGCACATTTGACATTAAGATAATGCGTTTGAAAGCTTTCCCAACTCCAAATTGTATAAATAACAATTTAAGGTACAATTGCTCGTCCCATGTTTGGATGAAGATGATAACAGTGAAGAGAGCTTTGAAACCTTTCCAGAAATGTATCTCAAGGTGAGTTGCTAGGGGCAGTCCCCACTGGCGAAACGGTTTTAGCCATTTGACTATTTATTTACCAATTAAATAGAATTATTTATTTTTATTTATTAAATTACGACTTAAGTATATGTATGGTATATATGGTATAAAGAAAAAGGCAAAAAATAACATAAAAGGCGTTTTCCCTCTTATTTTCCAGTCTGATAATTTTCTAGTTTTTGCCTACCCTGATTTTTGATATTAAGCGCATTAAATTAAGTATAGGTACGTAATGTGTTGACCTTATTCGTAGGTAAATGTATGCGAACCCGTGTTAAGGTCAAGTACAATGTCTACCACTTAAGAAGTCATAAATCAACTGAAAAGAGATATGCAAATGATTTTTGACCAGTAAGCGAGGGAAGAGTGGTATTCATTATCGGCTCTACCCGTTCGTGGATTAAAACATTTTTTAACCTGGGTGGTGCCCGCACAAAAAAGAAATTTAAATAATGGCTTTTTCTGTTAATCAGGAAGTTGATATGTCACGATAAAACGTGCAGTTCGCTCAATTATCGGCATATGTGGCATTGCGGCGATAAGGTTAAAGATGGAAAGGTGCTGATACAAGTAGGTATGTGGATGTGGATTACGTGATTGGGCTTATTAATTATTTCGTTCCCCTGACTGTATTGCAAGGCAAGTTGAGGTATAGGTAATATTATAAGTATAGGTACCTACCTACCATTTCTGAAGTTTGCGTTTTTAGGAGTTAAAATTGAAACAATATGGAAATTTCTCTTCCTGTTTCCTATTAACTTTGCATTTCTGTACATTCGTATGTGTATTTTCGTAATGTAAACAATTTTGTAGAGAGGTAGAGACGTAGACAATAAAGTAGGTACCTCGTGTTTAAGAAATTTCCACAAATATATAGTAGCTTGACATTGCATCCAAATGATTGAACACAAGTATAAGAATCGAGTCCAACTATTGGGAAAATAAATATTTGGGGATTGCATGACCTATTGTCTATTTTTCCTTTTTGGAATTGTTTGTAATTGCGTAGGTAATATTTTTCTGTTTAAATTTTATCGCTTTGATAATTTATTCAATTTAGATAAGGTGTTCGAACTGAGACACATCTGGGCGTTTGCGATAAGAAATTTTATTATCGGGCGAAATTTAATTAACGCGCGTCTTCTTCTCGATGCTAAGAGATAAAGAGTTCCTTCGAAGCTGGGGTTGTTAAACCTAATTGTGAACGCGGTGTTTTTGAAAATCCTGTAGGAGTGTACCTTATGGCGGAGTGGTGTTTCATTAAATACTGGAATTAACGTAAAATCGATGCTGCAAATTCCGCGACGAAAGAGTATGTAAATTTGTTTACACTAAATATCGGTCAGTTAATTTCGAAATAAAGTGTGCAGAAGATCAGTAATATCAATAAAAAGTTTAAGTTATCGTCAAATGAAGTACCTAGTAAAAGTTTGTGGAATGTTTGTCTGTATTCAGAAAAAGTTAGTTCGAATGTGAGTTAGTCTGCTCATCAATGAAACTTTTCTAAAAGGTTTGTGTTTCATTAAAAGTTCAAGGTTTTTACCGTCCGAGCAGCCACCGAAAATTTGTTCATCTTACTCATCAAACCAAATTTTGTCATCAAGAACAAGTGAAATTCAGATGCTCTTAGCGTTTGTGTGAGTTTAGTCCGCCTATATCGCAAATCTTGTACGACCAGATTATTTTTTATTTGGATTATTTAAAAAATTGTAGATAATTTCATATTTCTAATTATCGGCCGTCTGTGTGCGGGGTTTTATGTCTAAACAAGCAAGCTTTTTCCGGTCAGGAATTTTGTTTTAATTTTTTTTCATTGGTTTACGGAATACATTTTTGTCATTGTCAATTAATTGTGTGTTTATTCGTGCGACCCAGATTTTTTTATTCGTGTCCAGGTTTGCTTAACAAATTCTTTGGAATTGCCAGAAGTTGATCGAGGTCCCCGAGTCTTTTGATTTGATAAATTTTAAGTCAATATTAGGATTTTTGTTCTAGCAGGTGCCAGATGTGTACGAGGACACATTATAAAATTCAAAGTTGCAATTTTGGACAGGTGTTTTGTAAGTGACGTAGTGGCCGCATGCCATTGCACACAGCAATATATGAAGTTTGTAGTTGTGCGAATGTCTTTAAATTTAAAATTGGAACTTTTTTTCAAAATTTGAAAATTTTCAAGAACTTTATTTGATTTTAGGTTTGATGGTTTCAAATCAAAATGGGAAACCACGATCTTTCTACCTTTAGGTAACATTTCCCTACAAAGCTTGTTTATGCACTTCTCCACTCTTATTGGACAAAATGTGACAAATGTTGAAGGTCAGGTGCGATTGGGCCACACTCACAATACCACCCAACACGCGCTTTGGTTATTTCTCAATGTACCTCAATAAGCAAAAATATTGCCCTAATGTAACTTTTTCAAATATCATCCTTTAGCATCAGGGGGGAAATGCTGATGACTTATGATTTTCTGTGATATTAAAGGATAGTACACACTAAATTAAGGGCTGGTTTGTGTTTTTTATTTTTGGAAAGTATTAAATCCTATTGCGCAACGATGTCATTAAATGGGAACAGACGTGTGGAGTCCTGATCGCCGGATCAGCAAGAGCCCCTCGTTTGCGTTTTCCGTTTTAAACAGCAGCGGAGTTGATGGAATTAGCGCTCTAAAGAAGGGCGGGTTGAAGTACTTCGGACGATGGACACGTATGCTCATCAGTTCAGTTTCAAAAAAGAATTTAAAAGTTACAAAATTGTTACGCATCCGGCAGCGTACGAACGAAAAAATCTTATACTTAAATTGCATAAAAACATAAGTGATTGCAGAAAATTGGTCTTATGACAGATTGAGCTAGCCCAGCTAAGAACCCATTTGATGGGGATGCAGACGTATATTTTGATTAACAGATATCAAAATTGTTATATATTCGATGATTTCATTTGGGTCACATGGAACTGATTTACCTTGATGGTCAAAAAGTTAAAATCCGTATTTTTGAATCTACTTTGTAGGGAAAACGCTTTTGGAAATTTCTTTTATCCACAAATATGGTCTATAATTTAAATAAGTACGGAATAGTATCTGCGTTATGCGTAAATCGTTTTCGATTACATTTGATTAGTTTTTGTTCTTCCTTTGCCAAGGTGATTAAAATCGCTTAGAAGCTTTGTTCGAATTCGAACATTCAAGTAAAACAAGAAAGTTATTGAGATAAAATTTATTTGGAGTGAAAAATACTTTAAATAAATATGTACAGCGATTTATGAAGTAACGGCATAGATTCTACACAGCTACGTTCCATGAATGCGGTAGGTACAAAAATGAGCATTTGGTTCCCCGTTTAGATCCGTATTACCAGTGACCATGTCCGTAGGCGAGACCAAGACCATGTCCATATCCAAGACCATGTCCATATCCAAGTCCGTGTCCGTATCCAAGACCAGCAAGTCCAAGACCATGGGCTCCTACGAATCCTGGGGAAACGACGGCATGAGCCGAGGGCGCAACAATGGCGGCGTGTGGGGCTACAACAGCGGCTGCGTGTCCAACAATGGCGGGTGCTGCTACAACGGCGGGTGCCGCAACAATAGCACCGTGATGAGCAGGGGCGTTATGTTCACCATTGGGCCCGATAGCACCATGACCGTTGACTACTCCGGAGGGGCCAGCTGCACCATGAGGTCCTACTACTCCCGAAGCACCAATAAGGGTGGTAGGTCCGGCTGGTACTACATTGTAGGCGACCGCGTGATGTCCGATAATTCCGCTCGGTTTGGCAGCGGCGAAGATGGCCAAGCAGGCGAAGACGGCTACAGTCTGCAATAATATCTACCATAAACAACTACCTTCAGACGTTAAGCTGCGAACTTACCAAAGCGTTCATGGTGGTTGTATCTTGAGAGATCTGAGAGTACAATGCTGGTGAAAGACAAACCCTTGCATTTATACTAAGATTTCGACCTTCGTGGTTAACAACAAATTCTTTATTTTCCTAATATAATAATAAATAGACAGATACCATTAGTAATCATGGAGACCACACCTTCACGTTAGTTCCTTACTCTAATTCTTACTATTACTTAAATTGAAGGTAATACGGACATGGTGTAATTATATGCGCATATAAAATAAGTCCACCCATACAATTAACGTATTTGTTCCTATTCATATTCATTCCGATGTGGACAATTGATAGAAATCGAGTATTGTAACTGAGATAAATCTTCAGCCGCTATAATTTCTTTACCTTTTCACTTTTGTGTTAAATCCGCATAATATAGGATCGTGAGCTCTGTGGATGTGCATTACCAACGACTTTCCATAATTAGGGAAATGCTAGGAGAATGTCCGTCTTAGTCACAATAAAGGAACTTGGGAAATACTTTAATTTTTATTACACAATACCTACCATAGTCACCACAAGTTGATGCGGTTATGGACAAAGATCGTTTACCCTAATTAATTTTTCATGCTCCACTTGTTTGATGGATGCTATTTGGCGAAGTACAATCGCACTTTATGCCATTTAAATTATTATGCAATAATAATAACTATTTACAGTAGGTAACCTATATTTTAACGCCCTGCCTTCGAGTAGGTAAGTACATATTTTTTTTCAAATTTTAATTACGTACATTAGGTCAGCAAGTTTAGGTATTACATAAGTCGTAGGTATATTTCTGGAAAAAAATTGAAATGTGGGTAAGGCCATTGAAGTGTTCTGCTGCTGTTCACTCAACCGTGTGGCACAATGCTTACAATAATTATTGAACTCGTAGGCATTACCTATAAAGGTATGCGTTCCGGCGTTTATAATTTCATTGCCACTTCAGGTTTTTTGTGTTTGCGTGAAGTAAGACTCTTTATGAAATTTAGAGACATCCTTGACCAAAGCTTTGAATGGTATCGGATTCTTTTGAAATATTTTTCAATCATTTATTACGTTATTGTAAACAAACTGACGGAAATAATTAAATATATATCAGATTCAATGCAGCGGAAATTAATAGATTTGTTTTATAGGTTTATGATTAAAAATTACCTATAAGTTGGCGTTGCAACGCAAACGCACACCGTGTCGTGTGCAAAAAAAACCCAATTTTTTGAAGATTTTTAGTTCTCAGCTATCAAAGAAAAAAAACTAGCCATTTGAACATCACTCAATTTTCTGACAATTTTTTGATAGTATAATTCATCTTATAGTCTAAGAGCTGGCTACGGAAAAAAGTGACATCGCTATATGGCTGATTTTTTGTATAAAGTATCCTGATACATAGTGAAGTAGAAAACGTCATGTCTGCCAGAGAAATCCGGTTGGGACGGGTAGTCCCTAGGATGGTCCAATATGTCAAATTTTAATACAACTGCCGATCTTCCGACTATATTTACCTCTGGCGTCTTTATTTTCAATCTGACGCAAAAAATGGATGAGACTTTTCTGTACAGCTCATCCAGAGTTGCCAACTTTTCGTTCACACATATCGCCAAAAATGATCTCTGGATATCGCCCAAAATCGCAAAAGTTGGGATTTCTTAAAATCGCCCAAAATCGCAAGGTTTTCCAAATAAATTTCACAATAAAACGACAAAATAAAATTGAATTTATTTCATATTAAAAAATCCCATATTCACAGATAGTAGCTAAAGGTAATACAACAGATAACAATAAAACAACAGATATGCGCGCATGTAAATACTACGTCTTAATGAGACTAATGAGAATGAGAGAAATTAAATGTAATAAGTTCCCGTAAGCGTTTTCGAAGTCGCCCAATTTGCGATATATCGCAAATGTTAAAAAATGGGAGCTTTTTTGGATTTTGTATCGCCCATTTTGCGATAAATCGCCCAAGTTGGCAACCCTGATGCTCATCAAGGCACATCTTTTTTTATATTTAATATTTTTCGCTATGAAGCTTACTTTCTGAAAAAAGTGCAAATTTTGAAAAATTATAAAATGAAGAGTTTAACCTGTTCAATTTAAAATTTCTCAAAAACTAAGAAACTCACAAAAAAATCGTTATGGACTTTTTTGTAGAGCTTCTTGTACCACATTAGCTAGTGTATGCGAAAACAATTACAATCATTTTTAAGCCCTTATAACCCCTTTAAACTTTTAACACCATCAAAAACCCTGAAGATGGTAACGGACGGAAACCAAAATAGGTCGTTTGCGATTCCCTATACAATCCTATACACATTCCAAATTTCATCAAAATCGGTTGAGGTTGAGGCGTTTTTGAGTTATCATGTTCACAAGAAACGAACCAATCCTGGAACCAATGCATACAGTTTAAAAAGGTCATAACAAAAAATTTTTGTAATCATTTTTGCAAACACTAGCAAATGTGGCATACAAAACTCTACAAAAAAGTCCATTACAGTTTTTTTGTGAGTTTCTTAGTTTTTGAGAAATTCTCAATTGAAAAGTTAAACTATTTATTTTATTTTTTTTTAAATTTGCATCTTTCTTGAAAAGTAGGCACCATAGCGAAAAATGTTAAATAGAAAAAAGATGCACCTTGATAAGCTGTACAAAAGGTTTCATTCATTTTTTGCATCGGATTCAAAATAAAGCCGCCAGAGGTATATTTACCTCGTTGGAAAATCGGCAGTTTTATTAAAATTTGACATATTTCACCACCCCTCCCAACCTAAAGCCACGGGATCTCGCTGGCAGACATGACTTTTTCTACTTTACTATGTATCAGCATACTTTACACAAAAAATCAGCCATGTAGCGATAACTCACTTTTTTCCGTAGCCAGCTCTCCGTCTATTAGTAGGATACTATCGCAGAGGGTTCTGCGTGTCGTGAGAAGCGACCATGAACAACTGCAGATCAACGCAACCCTCGGTGATTGGAATATGTGACAGTTGTTGTACCTACCTAGCACTGTGGAAGGTGAATAATTTTTCTTGATTTTGTAAAATCAAAAACTGTAGGTATTTATGATATAGCAGAGTGAAACAGGAAAAGTTACGAATTTACTGGCAAAACTCTTCGACTGTTTATACGTTAGAAGCATAAGCAGGGCCGTAGCCAGATTAGTTACTAAAAGCGGGCAAATAAATCTACAGAGCGGACAGGCGAAATATTAATAATTTGCTGTGTTCTGCTGAACGAATTCGTTTTTAGCACAATCCACGAAAGTTACGACTTCACATTTCCGTCCCTCTGCGTGTCGTTCCGTACTATAGCTGTCCCTAAACCTCGTATCGACTATCAAAAATTAACTTTGGCATTCATCACGTGTTATAGCTCTAATTTGGTCAAAATTATTTTTTTATTCACCAATTTTGTTGGCAAAACGATCACACTCGATTGCTCGATAACCAAGAAATGATACATGTCTATTTTTGGCGATATTTTTATTCAAAGGATGTCAAAATCGTTATTTATGCATCTATTCTCTTGGGAAATTCAATTGCGCAATGCCCAAGAGGTGGTCCATGTGTATTTTTGTTCACAAAAAATGTCGAAATCGTTATTTATGTACCGATTTTCTTGGGAAGAAGATCTTGTATCGACTTCTGGTTTCAGATGGACAACTATCAAGAATTAATTTTAGTATCCATCACTTTATTGCCCAATATCGATCTAAATCCTTATTTATGCACCAATTTTTTGGGATAAAGACCAAACTCGATGCCCAAGAAACTAACTCCAGATTCGTGATTTTTATGTTCAAAAACCCCCAGATACCAAATTTCGTAGAAATCAGAATTATTTTTCGCACCCTTACCGCTCCTTCGTGGTAAGAATTTTGAAAATTTCAAAATCGGATAGGGCATACCCGAAAACCTATTCAAAGACCATCCATTTTTATAACTCTTATAGTTGCTGAAAAAAAAATTAAAGAAGAAATCAAATTTCACCACTTCTTTAGGGGCGGCTCCCAAACTAAACACGTACTTGGATTCTCGGTTTATTTAGAAAAAGTGCTTGTCTTGATCCCCTCTATCACCCAATTTTGCTACATGCGGTCATGTAACACCCTGTATTATATAAAAGTATCAAAATAATGAAAAATATAGTACAAATTAGTGTATTAAAATATAGGTATACCTAATAGCATAGACCAAATACAATTGGTCTATTGAGGGCTCAAAACTAAGAGAGGGATAATAAATAAATAAAATAAATAGTGAAAGGGTATAGTATAAACTGATTTTTTTATCATGAAATGAACGTTTTTAAATAATATAAATAATATACCTACCTAAAGGTAGGTACAAACGAAACTATGAGAATACGATACGTTTTAGAAGGTTCTTCCAGGAAAGAGTTTTGATAAAAGCTGGTAACATGTTATATGTTTTACGATATGAAAGAAAAACACCCTTCCAAAGAATGATATTTCATAGGTACAGTGGTACAGTCATTGACAAAAGTATAATGATCGCCTAATATGTCAAGCAGCATTATTACACAACCAACATTTGAATATATTGTGCAACTTGGAAATGCGAACCTACAAATTAAGGTATTTCCCTCTTGAAGAATAACCGACGGAGCCCGGTATATGATATGCATGTTTCGTAGTAAGCAATACAATTTAAATAAAGTGCTCCAATATAGACATCGAGCAACAAGATCAATTTCGGTATTGACCAAAAATGAATCAGCTAGTCCCTTGACCATTGGTCTACTAATTACTGGACACAGAATTGGAGAATTCGAAACCATTCGCGAGTTATCATGTACACAGACAGACTGACCGATATAGAAAGTCCAAAATCATAAACTCGCTGTTTGAAATTATCAAGCTGAAGGCATCAGCTGTCGACTCCTTACTGTGCATTTCGGCGGAAAAGTGGTACGACGCGGGTACGACAAGGCTTTCGGAGCGACTACAAAAGTGCATTAATCGTGACGGTGAACTACGTTGGAAAATAGCTAAATGGCAAAACCTCTGTAATTGGTTTTTGCAAAGTTTACTGTGTGAAAAAGAATTGTAGACCATAATTTACGGAGAACCCTCGTACATAAGATATTCTTGGAAAAGTCCCACTACACCACTGGTCCTTTGGTTAAGATGGTGTACCTACGTCTGTACGAAAAGTAATTTAATTATCAAGATACGGCGGTTTAGAGACTTAACACATACCTCTTCACAAAGTGAAAAGAACGGCGAATGGCGATTTCTCGCAATCTATTACAGAAGTAGATCAAACTTTAGTAATTGCCGGCAACTGTGAAACGAGTAGTAGTTGCATTACGTTCAAAGTAGTTAAGCTGCTCCATAGGAGTAGGTCAAGTAAACGCTAAACAACACGTAAACATAACCCAACTTATCAAAATGTTATGCTTGAAATGAAGCTATGACGAATGAATACAGATTAAATCTTTCTAAAAAAAACCTGCCAGAATTAAGAGAGCTGTACGACAGGCAAAAAGCCATAATTGAAAATAAGTAAGATAGATTTTCTTTTCCTGTTTCTAAGTCTACTTCCTTTTAAGATCGCTTGTAGCAAAATTGAAAGATAAAGGAGAAAGTGTAAGGGCATTATGTGACAAAATTGAAAAAGAAATACAACACCGAAATGATGTAGAAAGTCTCGATCTGTCCCTGTCCAACTTAAAAATTGCTGATGCAAGAACGGAGTTAGACAAACATGCTAAATATGTATGTAGTAAAGATTCACAAGTCGAAGACAGTAGGTATCGGCCACATAGAACCTTAATACCCAATGAAAGAAAGTCATTAGATCATTCTCCAAAGAAACCGATTGAAGTAAGTTCCGCTTTTGAACCGTATCTATGTCATAAACCAACACAATGTGTTTCTTTGCCAGAATCTCTGGAAATACAGCAACAACATTCACGTAAAATAACAGTAAGTTTATTTGTAACTAGTACCTAGCATTGCATAGTTTCATATTGTAGGAGGAGCGCACGAAAAAGTTCTTAGAACGCTTACGTGTATATGAAGACAGCGACAGTGAAAGCGAGGGCGAACCTCAAGTTGAAGATGAAGATGATGGTGACAATTTGATCGGTGTAAATACATTTTAAGTGATATAAATACTTTATTTTAAAAATAAACAGTTAAATTGTACTCTTCTGTAAACCTTGCAACCGTTTGTACAGGTGTTCCTTCCATTGATCCTCTGGAATGTTATTAGCCCACTCTGGTATAGACGATGACGGCAGTAATACATTCGCCATTACTTGCTTGACTTCGTCAACTTTTTCGCTGTCCATTTTGATGTCAACTGTCGAAGGTGAGGGTGTCGCCCACACCTCTCTAACTAATGCACTCGCTGCAGCTGAAATCGGTGGTAAATTCTCGTTGGTTGGTGTCTGATTATCACTGTCAACTCCACTGTCCTGTTCGTTATCACTACTCTCGTTGTCGTATTCGGGTGCTTCAAGAGGAAGGGGCTCGTAGCCATCTAGCACAACTTCGTCTTCGCTGTCGGAGTCGGTGGCCATGAAGACATTTTCGTTATTGCTTGGAAGGGTTTCTTCTACGTGGTTTGGAATGTCTGGTAAAACTTTGTCATCATTAACCATTGTGGAAAAATAGAAACTTTATTTTAATAACATAAATATTGGTTTTTTAACCTTAATTACCTACGTATATTCCATAATTATAGAGTTCAGTTTGATTGGATAATAGAAACCATTTCGTGTGGCCTTATTTGGAGGTTTTGTCAACAGAGGGAAATGGTTAACCAAACTACTACCTAAATTTATATATTCAAAAATCGAACGGAAGGTTAGTACTTGCATTGTTTTTAGTTTTTTTCCAGTTAAATGGACCGAACAGGCAGTAGTTTATTTATTTAATTTTTATTTATTTTTTATTTTTGCCTTTATGTTTTGGGGGGGTTCAGACTGGCTTCGTGGTCCAGTTTATAAAAGTGTTACGTTGATTTAAAATTTTTGCAAGTACCCGTTCAGCCAAATCTCAATCACAATTTCGTCGGACGATATTGCAAGATTTAAGTACAAGTGTCAAATAAGAATGTGAATTTTTTTAAGCTCTAAGTTTTTAGCGCATTTCCACAAAAATAAAAAAAAAATGCGCTATTGGGGCCACTTTGTCCGTCCGTCCGTCCGTCCGCTCGTTTTGCGACGCTACTAGTTCTTTATCTTAAGAGCTATTGTTCTACTTTTTTCGCTATTTGGTTCGTTATGGTGTCGAGTCTTGTACCAAGGAAGGAATTTTTTCTGTACCGCTTACAAAAAAAGTTATTGTAAAAAAAACAAAAAACCGTTTTTTACATGTTCCATAATTTTACACTTTTGCCGTTTATTAACGATCCTAGAGATCGTTTATAATTTTGCATTGCTATCTGTCGTCTGCCTGTTGGTCTGTCCGTCTGTTCCTTTGTCTGTCTGTCCATCTATCTGTCCGTGTGAACGATAACTTTGTTTAGAAATGTTCGATCGCTTTTACATCTCCGTTAGTTATGAACTAAATTGCATGAAATTCAATATGGGCATAGCCTTAGCCATATAATACGCAATGCCAAAAGTTGAATAGAATCGATTCAAAATTCACAGTGCCCTTTTCGCATCTCGACCATTTATAAACCGAATTGCAAACTGTTTTACTTATAAAAGTATTTGAATGAAATTTGATACATAGGCACTTGCAATAAAGGAAAATCAAACGCCAGTTTCAAAATTTGGTTTTGCGCATGCGCAGTGCCAACTTTTTTATTTATGGAAGAATTTAAACGAAATTTGATACATAAGCACATGGAATAAAGGAAAATCAAACGCCAATTTCAAAATTTGGTTTTGCGCATGCGCAGTGCCAACTTTTTTATTTATGGAAGAATTTAAACGAAATTTGATACATAGGCACTTGGGATAAAGGAAAATCAAACGCCAATTTCAAAATTTGGTTTTGCGCATGCGCAGTGCCAACTTTTTTATTTATGGAAGAATTTAAACGAAATTTGATACATAAGCACTTCGAATAAAGGAAAATCAAACGCCAATTTCAAAATTTGGTTTTGCGCATGCGCAGTGCCAACTTTTTTATTTATGGAAGAATTTAAACGAAATTTGATACATAGGCACTTGGAATAAAGGAAAATCAAACGCCAATTTCAAAATTTGGTTTTGCGCATGCGCAGTGCCAACTTTTTTATTTATGGAAGAATTTAAACGAAATTTGATACATAGGCACTTGGGATAAAGGAAAATCAAACGCCAATTTCAAAATTTGGTTTTGCGCATGCGCAGTGCCAACTTTTTTATTTATGGAAGAATTTAAATGAAATTTGATACATAGGCACTTGGGATAAAGGAAAATCTAGCGCCAGTTTCAAAATTTTATTTTGCGCATGCGCAGTGCCAACTTTTTTATCTATGGAACTATTTAAGTGAAATTTGATACTTAGGCGCTTGGAACAAAGGAAAATCTAACATTAGTTTTAAAATTTAGGTTTGCGCATGCGCAGTTCCAACTTTCTTATTTAGAAAAGCATTGATATGAAATTCTTCTCATAAACTGAAATTGAAGTAGCACGTCAACAATGGATTGCCCATGTGCAACGCTATCTTTCATATTTGTGGCGGGATTTTTACGATTTTAACAGAAGTTGCATCTTACAAATGGGAAATGAATGCAAGTGGAAATGCGCTTTATGTAAATCGTTTACGATTACTTTTTAACTTGTTCAGTTTTGATCGCTTCAAAAACGTGGTGTGCAGAATTTTACTAAAGGTATATGTGGTAATATCTATAACTCTGTTTTTTAACTAGGAAGACGGATTTAAAAACCTGATTTACACTGAAAATGTCACTAGAATCTAGTAACAAAAATAATAGACTCATTTTATACAGACATGTATTGTGTGTTGCGTGATGTGTTTTTCTTTCACATTTGGATAGATTTCATTATTTATGCTTTTGGGTTATTATTTGATATGAACTACTTTATATTATGCATACATCACACTTTTAAAAGCGAATTATAATAAATAGGTAATACATTGATAATAGGTAATAATGCTGCATACATTTTTTGACCTTTGAAACATTGTTTTGAATTGTAGTTTTAAATGTTTTATCACTTGTAATACTACACAATCCACATTACAATTTACAACAAATGTTAAGTTATTGAACAAATTCAGAGCAATGGAATTATATTCATATTATTAAACAGCACAGTTCACTGTTTTATGTATAAGCGATTAAGACACTGTCTTCCGAAAGTTCACTAAAACTGTCACTGTCCTCCGATCCGAGTGAAATAATTAATGGTTCTATAAGTGTATCCATTAGGCCATCCAATCTACACATCTTATTTTCTTCCTTAATAACGTGTTGCACACAATTCCGCCAATCGTCAGAGCTCACATTTGCAACAGCCTTATGACCACCGGAACGTTCCGAAGGGGTAACAATCCCAGTACTTCGATCTTCTTTAATTATATTAATTTATTATTAATTATAATAACCAAATATATACCTACATCATTATTTACGTTACCTGTGGTAGATGTAATCTTCAACACAAGCGTAGCAAAATTCATATCCGGAGTATCAGATAACATTTGTTTATAAGTGTTTATAATAAACTGCTTTTCGGAGACTGATAAAATGACCTAAGTTTAAGCGACAACTTTTTTTCAAAGGAGACAAGCTTGCTTTACTGGTACTTGGAGTTGAATCCATCACCAATGCCAGTACACTTAGGACGCGAAATATCAACTTTAGTTCATAAACGAACTGTTTTACTTTGTTAAAATTTATGCAAAAGGACTCGGAACACACGAAAACTCAAAAATAAGTATAACAGTTAAGGATGAGAATCGCGATTAAATTTGACAGTTAAATCATGTCAATAGTAATTTTACCTGGGTGTAAAACGGGCGCAGCGCGAGCCAATAGAAACTAAGATTTTTTGCGGGAACTTTTAAATCCGTCTTCCTAGTTAAAAAAACAGAATATACATACTTATGTAAGTATACTTTGAATAATATTGCGTTTATATCGCGCACCCAGTTTCCGAAACGATCAAAGTCGAGTCGTATGTTTACGTTTATCGCGTTTTTTGTCTCTCTATTCAAATAAGAACCCAATATTATGTTATGTCCGACAACTGTACACACAGGTTAATCGTACCATGATGGCAGTATAAATAAATTGTAATTTCCTAATGTAATACCCGAGCGAGCGCCACTGGTGGTGGCAGTATGATTGCAATTTGCTTCACGCGCGCGCTCTCTATTACGGGTCCCCTCTCTTTCATAGGGGTACACCGCATATACTTCTCTTATATACAGGGTGGTGACTTGCGTAACGCATCATAGGGATTTCAATGTAAAATTCATAACATGCGATTATTGGCTCCCCAAATTATTTTAGAGCAAAAATGTTTGTAGGAAAAAATTTTTTTACGTCAATCAACCCTATTAGTTTTCAATTTTTTGCATAATAAAGACGGAAAATTGGAAAATAAAACCCGCATCTTTTTCAATAATCTGCGATGCCATGGAATTTTCTAAAACAAAAAGATATCCAGTTATCAATTAGCAGCAGTTCGAAATGGCTTTTATGATCGACTTGGTTACTGTATTGCAGTTAATGGTGACTTATTCGAACATTTATTGTAAATTGTTATATTAGGAAACCGTTTTTAGTAATTTGGTCTTTCTTTATGTTGAATTCGCTGTTCTAAATATAATACTTTTTGATAGAATTTGATTTGTTTAATAGCAGACATTCCATGGCATGACGGATATTGACGTAGTTTTTGTATGATAAAATTCCATGGCATCATCGATTATTGAAAAAGATGGGGGTTTTATTTTCCAATTTTCCGTCTTTATTATGCAAAAATTGAAAACTAATAGGGTTGATTGACGTAAAAATTTTTTCCTACAAAAAACCTTAATACATTTTTGCTCTAAAATAATTTGGGGAGCCAATAATCACATGTTATGAATTTTACATTGAAATCCCTATGATGCGTTACGCAAGTCACCACCCTGTATATGGTATTACAAAATTATGTTACCAACCAAACATTATTGTGTTACCAACTCATGATTTAAAAAAAACTAATTTACAATACTTTATTAATTTTGACCTTTTCTACGCAATTCGTTACAAAAAATATTGTATCTAACTCTTTCGGAATAGTTATTTACCTAACAAGTTCGGTAAGTTAATTTTCCCGCATGAGCACTTTGTTTGCAGCACGACCGTAGGGAGTGCTGCATTTAGTGCGAATGCGGGAAAATTCTTTCCGAAAGAGTTAGGTACAATATTTTTTGTAACGAATTGCGTAAAAAAGGTCAAAATTAATAAAGTTTTGTAAATTAGCTTTTTTTTAATCATGAGTTGGTAACACAATCATATGTTTGGTTGGTAACATAATTTTGTAACTACCCACTTTTAATAATGCACTGGTCACATTTAAAACTTCCACATCTTTGGTTAATACATATTTTGCCTTTGCAATGAGTGCTACTGGTCACGGCATTGCATCGTTTGCACTGAGTATCTTGAGTTGCGTAAATACACTCGTTACATTTAAAATCCTTGGAAGCTTTGTGTGTGTTAATATGTGCTTTCTTAAACTGCATATGCGAATAGTTGCAGAATATCACTGGTCACATTTTAAGACGTTTTAACAATAAATTTTACTT